TGAAAGCTAGGACCAAGCAAATCAATAGGCCAAGAATGCCTGGAAGGTAAACGTTGAAACCCAAATGAAAAATGTAAGCTATGGAAGGGGCAGGTGAAAAGCTTGGTGTAAAATTCCATGAAATGTGAGGTAATCTCAAAACATCTAAAAACGCTGGGTAGTGCACAGCTGCGTAGTAGATCATAGCTTGGTAGCGAGTGAAAGCTAGGACCAAGCAAATCAATAGGCCAAGAATGCCTGGAAGGTAAACGTTGAAACCCAAATGAAAAATGTAAGCTATGGAAGGGGCAGGTGAAAAGCTTGCTGTAAAATACCATGAAATGTGAGGTAATCTCAAAACATCTAAAAACGCTGGGTAGTGCACAGCTGCGCAGTAGATAACAGCTTGGTAGCGAGTGAAGGCCAAGAATGCCTGGAAGGTAAACGTTGAAACCCAAATGAAAAATGTAAGCTATGGAAGGGGCAGGTGAAAAGCTTGCTGTAAAATACCATGAATGTCAATGTAATCTCAAAACATCTAAAGACGCTGGGGAGTGCACAGCTGCGTAGTAGATCATAGCTTGGTGGCGAGTGAAAGCTAGAACAATAGGCCAAGAATGTCTGGAAGGTAAACGGTGAAACCCAAATGAAACATGTAAGCTATGGAAGGGGCAGGTGAAAAGCTTGCTGTAAAATACGGCTTGATGCAAAGCACAAACCAGAAGCAGAGAGGAAAAGAAGCTCTGAGAATGTTTGGCATGTCATTTGCAGGCTGTTTGCGTACTTCGACATACGTCAGCATGGAGATTTTACATTTTTCCTATGACAAGGGAAAAAATGTAAGCTTACATTTTTGAGGTCCCCTGGTATTCAGGGGGACCTCAAAAATGTAAGCTTACATTTTTGAGGTCCAAAAAAGAAATGTAAGCTTACATTTTTGAGGTCCGAAAACATAGGAAAATGTAAGTTACATTTTTGGACGTCCCCCCCTCTTAATTTGTGGGGATTTTAGGTCTAGGTTAGACCATTGTATACAAAGAAGTTTTGCCCGGCGTCTATTCTACGCTTGTTTGAATGAGGGTATCTATATAGTACAATATATATATATATCTGTCCAATGTCCCAGCAGGCCGGTCTAGGAGTTCACCGACTCATCGGCAAATCCGCAAGCTGAACTTGGACTGATTCGTGTAGTGTCGATCAGGTCGTGCAAGTTTCCATGGACAGCCTAAAGTCTGGAAGTCTTTGAGACCCAGAGTCAACAGCTCAAAGCGCACGATCACATGGTGACTGACACAATGACAGTCGGTGAGACCCCAAACCGCAGCTTGGTAGTGAAGAAGAATGAACGTTGATTTGCGAGGAGTTGACTGGATGATGGTTGAAATTGGAAAGCAGCGGCACTATGAGATCCTCAGCCCTACCAGACCAAGATACCCTACGCCCTCTCTATCCACCTCTCAATTCACATTTGAATAACTTGAAGCCCTTGCCTCCTATGACTTGAGGAAAAAACACAGGAAACCCATAGTTTTGCGGCGAAAACCATGGTTTCCTGTAGATTGTAGATGATATAAACCAATTCTGCGAGTTCAGTAGGGGAAAGGTTTGCTAGTGGCCCGGGATTTATCCGCATATAGTCTGCACGAGAAGGTGTAAGTGGAACCTTGGCCGACATTCCTTGTGGATGTTGATCATTAGGGAAACTCACACAAATTCCGCAGGCGCACTCTTGATCACTCTTGACCACGGAAAGGCGGTTGCGACATATTGTGTTGTTTCCTCACCACGGTGTAGTGTTGGTGAAGTCAAAATAGTCAAGACTTGAAGCGAAACTTCCGACAATTGTTTTGCAACGACAAGCAAGACCTTAATTGCCCATCAGACTTCCATTTGTTCCCCCATCCCTTCACTGTGCCAGCGTTCAAGGATCTTGATGGAAATCTCACAGAAGATCCGCGATTTGGAAGAGGGTGGTCACTGGCCGCAGTTCAGTCTCATCATTTGAAGCGCACACACATATATATATATATGTAATATATATATATA